TGTGGCCTGTTAGGAATCAGGATGCACAATAGGAGGAAATCTGTAAATGTATATTAAGTCATCAGAAAGAAAGGTACACCAAATTAATAGTATTAATGGTTATCTCTCACATAGAAATTACAGAAAAGCACTTACTTCTCTGTATTATTAGGAATTTGAACAATAATCTTACCACAAAAAAGGAATATCAATGTTTCTTCAGGAAGAAAATAAGCAAAGAAAGAAACAAATGAGAAAATAATGAAATGAAGTTAAGAAGGTATTTAGCAGTAACAGAATCCCTATAAAGCATACTGGACATTTTAGATTGACTAATTATAGAATAACCGACATCTACACTCACTATACTGGGGACCCCAAACTAGTTATCTGTGTAACAAGAACATCAAATAATGTAACAACTGTATTCAAAATACCAAACAACTTAACAACTGTATTCAAAATATAGAACAATTTGAATTTATCCAGAACACTAGAATCTCAAGCACACCCAAAAATAAAATGAATGGGCATGGGATGGGCGTAAAAGCCATTATTTTAGTATTTTTCAAAGTATTTTTAAAATCTTTAATCACTATACCATGCTAAGAAATTTTACATATTTATATGAAAATGACATAACACTTAAAGAAAAACTGACAAACAATAATCTTCCTAAAAATCCAAGAAAGTAAAGTTAAAACAAGATATTTTGCAGTTCGGCAAAATGGTTGGCAAATGCTGAATATATTAATGACAAGAAAATAACGACACCTCTTAGACAACTAGAGTAGGAATATAAGGTGGTAAAACCATTCCAGGATATAAGTTTTCTACACATATAAAAAGCTTTCAAAAATTGATATATTTGACTCAAAATCTAAATGTAGAAATTCACCCTAACAACACAGAGATATGTACAATGACAGTCGACCCAGATGTTTGCTGCAGCATTAATTGAAAATACAAGTTTATATCCATCAACCAGTAATTAGCTTAAAAAATACAGAATATGAAACAAGATAGATCATTCAAGATGCTGACATCAAATCTACCTACAGAGAATAAATCAGGTTACATAAGTGTGTATACTATATCTAATTTACATAAAAAAAGAAAAAATCTGTAAATGTATATTAAGTCATCAGAAAGAAAGGTACACCAAATTAATAGTATTAATGGTTATCTCTCACATAGAAATTACAGAAAAGCACTTACTTCTCTGTATTATTAGGAATTTGAACAATAATCTTACCACAAAAAAGGAATATCAATGTTTCTTCAGGAAGAAAATAAGCAAAGAAAGAAACAAATGAGAAAATAATGAAATGAAGTTAAGAAGGTATTTAGCAGTAACAGAATCCCTATAAAGCATACTGGACATTTTAGATTGACTAATTATAGAATAACCGACATCTACACTCACTATACTGGGGACCCCAAACTAGTTATCTGTGTAACAAGAACATCAAATAATGTAACAACTGTATTCAAAATACCAAACAACTTAACAACTGTATTCAAAATATAGAACAATTTGAATTTATCCAGAACACTAGAATCTCAAGCACAGCCAAAAATAAAAAGGATGGGCATGGGATGGGCGTGGTGGCTCACACCTATAATCCCAGCACTTTGGGAGCCCAAGGCAGGAGAATCATTTGAGCTCAGGAGTTCAAGATCAGCCTAGGTAGTGAGACCCTGTCTCTATTTTCTAAAGAATTAAAATTTATTTTTAATTTTGTTAGTGCTTTTGTTTTGTTTTGTTTTGTTTTGAGATGGAGTCTCACTCTTGTTGCCTAATGCAATGGTATGATCTCGGCTCACCACAACCTCTGCCTACCAGGTTCAAGCGATTCTCCTGCCTCAGCCTCCCCAGTAGCTGGGATTATAGGCATGCACCACCGCATCCAGCTGATTTTGTATTTTTAGCAGGGACAGGGTTTCTCCATATTGGTCAGGCTGGTCTCGAACTCCCAACTTCAGGTGATCTGCCTGCCTCGGCCTCCCAAGTCCTGGGATTTACAGGCGTGAGCCAGCACGCCCAGCCTTAAAAATGTTTTTAATAAAAAGAATTAGCATGAAAGCAACATTAACCTGTCATCATTCCACCACTTCTACAAGTAGGTTCCAGTAGTATCGGGAATTCCAGGCACAAGCTAAGCAAGCTAACTAAAGGTCAGAGTCAGGTGACAGAGACAGGTGTACACCCCTATTCCCCAGACAAGGGGTTCCCAATCCTCAGTACGGGTCTGTGGCCTGTTAGGAATCAGGATGCACAATAGGAGGTCAGTGGCAGGTGAGCATTACTGCTTGAGCTCCACCTCCTGTCAGATCAGTGGCAGCATTAGATTCTCATGGGAGTGTGAACCCTGTCGTGAACCGTGCATGTGAGGGATCGAGGTTGCGCGCTCCTTATGCAAACCTAATGCCTGATGATCTGAGGTAGGACAGTTTCATCCCAAAACCATACCGCCACCCCCATCCAGAGAAAAATTGTCTTCCACGAAACCAGTCCCTTCCCAAAAAGGTTGGGGACCGCTGCCCCAAAACACAGAATGACCAGAAAGGAGAAGATAACATAGATGCTATGTATGAGAACTTCTACAGAAACTTCCAAGATTTTTGGAAATTGAAGCCCTAATCTGCTTTATACCATATACCAAGACCTATATAATCTATCACTATGTACTCAATCAGTAACAACTTTTTTTTTTTTTTTTTTTTTGAGACAGAGTCTTGCTCTGTCGCCTCTGGAGTGCTGGAGTGCAACGGCGTGATCTCGGTTCAATGCAACCTCCACCTCCTGGGTTCAAGCGATTCTCCTGCCTCAGCCTCCCAAGGAGCTGGGATTACAGGCACGTGCAGTATCAGTTTTTAAAAACTCATAACTCTAAGAGAGAAAGTTAAAGTTTGGTATTGTCCATTGAAGTTAAATTCTAAAATCCTTAAATATATTAAACAAATATTAATTCTCAACTTGAAAAAAATGACCAGTTCACATGGCTAGTATCTGATCAGAGCCCTTCCCTAATGGACTGTCCAACAATCACAGCTGTTCCACAAATCCAGTGTAAATTTGCCCGATACTGATTCAACCACATCTTCTTACCCAGAACCTCTCACTCACTGCGGCATAGTTCTTAAGAGGTGGGTTCCAGGGCCAGGCTACCCATGTTTAAATTCAGGCTTCCATTCATAAGCCACATAACCCTGGACAGGGGGCTGAATTTCTCTAGAACTCAGTTATTCCTCTGAAAAGTAGGGATAAATACAGCTAAGCTTGTTGTGAGGGCTCCATCAGATAATTATGGAAAGCACTTGGCTCTGTGCCTAAAGGAAAGTACACATCAGTAATGTAAGTGATTCATATTACCTACCTACCATTATAAATTTTTATATTAGAGTTATATCGGAAATCTCTAGGTTTACTTTGGACTACATTGCATTATCAACCAAATGAGCATGTCATCTTCTCTACTGCTAAGACTGAGCACATGAGGGACTATGTAACAATGCCAGGGCGTGTGCTGAAGAAAAACAAATGAATGGAAAGATCCCAGCACTTTGGGAGGCCGAGGTGGGCGGATCAGAGGTCAGGAGTTAGAGATCAGCCTGGCCAACATGTTGAAACCTCATCTCCATTAAAATACAAAAAATTTAGCCTGGCATGGTGGCACAAGCCTGTGGTCCCAGCTGCTCGGGAGGCTGAGGCAGAAGAATCACTTGAAACCAGCAGGCGGAGGTTGCAGTGAGCAGAGATCACGCCACTGCACTCCATCCTGGGCAACAGAGCGAGACTCCATCTCAAAAAAAAAAAAAAAAAACCAGCAGAAAACCTCCTGTCTCCAGTAAAAATTAATCTCATAACATGACCATTCCACAACCAGGCGATCCTGGCACAGCTCTGTGTGGACAAGTAAAAGCCTTGGTTCTTGAGGCTTAGAAATCCATTTCCTTGGCATTTGAAATAAATTTCTACATGAAACTGGCAGAAGAAATACAACAATATGAATTTCAAAAGTTGTTTAACATTACAATTGTAACGAAACTAATCTAAATCAAAAGACAAATTAACTTTTTTTTTTTTTTTTTTTTTTTGGAAGGGGTTTCACTTTTTCACCCAGGCTCGGGGGCAATGGTGCAATCACAACTCACTGAAGCCTCGGCCTCCCAGGCTAAAGTAATCCTTCTGCCTCAACCTCCCAAGTAGCTGGGACTACAGACACATGCCACCATGCAAGGCTAATTTTTTATTTTTTGTAGAGATGGGATCTCACTTTGTTGACCAGGCTGGTCTTGAACTCCTGGCTCAAGGAATTCTCCCACCTCAGTCTCCCAAAGTGTTGGGATTACAGGCGTGAACCACTGTACCCAGCGTAAATTAACTTGAAAAGAAATAAAATTAAAGCTAGAAATAATTTTTCAAATAATTTCCCATAACGGTTACATTTTACAATTTTAAAAAAGCCAACAATTTTTTAAAACATCTCTAAACTCCAGAATGTCAAAAAATGTATATTCTCTTAATAAGTAAATCTTTACAATTTGCCTAAAAATTTATACCATTTTAAATGTATTTTAGTTTTTATAACACTATTTATTCATTCCATCAATATATATTGAAAAAGCACCTACCGGCTGGGCGCAGTGCCTCACGCCTGTAATCCCAGCACTTTGGGAGGCCGAGACGGGAGGATCACGAGGTCAGGAGATCGAGACCATCCTGGCTAACATGGTGAAACCCCGTCTCTACTAAAAATACAAAAAATTAGCCGGGTGCGGTGGCAGGCGCCTGTAGTCCCAGCTACAGGGGAGGCTGAGGCAGGAGAATGACGTGAACCCGGGAGGCGGAGCTTGCAGTGAGCCAAGATCACGCCACTGCACTCCAGCCTGGGCCACAGAGCCAGACTCCATCTCAAAAAAAAGAAAAAAGAAAAGAAAAAGCACCTACCATATCCCAGACACTATACCAAGCACTGTGTACACAGTGATACATAAAACAATGTCCCCTGAACGGCTATCTTCAGAAAGAGTAAATCTACAACCAAGCCAGTGGAGTAATAATTTAACAGAGATATGTATAAAATGAGTACTCAGTAAAATTATCTTGAGGTAGAAAACCGATACTATGCTGCAATAATCAAATGGGCTAGAGAGGATGATCAAAGTTTCTTTGTAACGAGAAGAACGAACTTCAAGGCTCAAGTCTTAACAATATTTTGAATTGCCAAGTAATACAAACAACGATTGCCTCTCAAAGTTATATATCGCTATATTTGAAATTTTATTTGATTTTTTTCAAGATAGGGTCTTGCTCTGTCACCTAGGCTGGAGTACAGTGGTGCAATCACGACTCACTGTAGCATCGACCTCCCAGGCTCAAGCAATCCTCAGCCTCCTGAGTAGTTGGGACTACAGGCACATACCACCTGCCTGGCTAATTTTTTATTTGTTGTAGAGATGGGGTTTGCCATGTTATCCAGGCTGGTCTCGAACTCCTGGGTTCAAGCATTCCACCTACCTCGGCTTCCCAAAGTGCTGGAATTACAAGCGTGAGCCACCACATCCAGCCTATTCTTGAAATTTTAAATAAGCACATATTACTTTTGTAACTGGTAGAAATGTTTCTGACCATCCTTCAAAATCCATCTCAACAGTGCCTACAAAATGAAATTACCCATTACTTATAAACAACCACAGAAGCCTTGTATTCCTTTGAAACCTCATAGCACTTTGTACCTTTCCTATGGCAGTTATGATAATTATCAAGAGTATTAACCATAGTTTTTAGTGAGTATAACCTGATTACTTTTAAGTACAAATTATCCCTTGAAATATCAAAGGAGCCAAGCCAAGTTATTACTCAATGACCTAACCTATTCGACTAACACTTTAAGAGGGACACTGGAAATGGGTACTAAAACATAGTAACAGAAAACAGTCAATAGTTTATACTCGTAAACAGGTTTAATTGCTTCTGCAATCTTGTTTCAACAGCATTGTACTTATAAAAGAATTCTGGAAGAGTTCGAAAGAAAATGCTTCCAATCTTCGCTGAAAGTTTCATGTTCTCGATTAATAAGATCTGAAAGAATAAAACTCTATTAATACCTACCGCAAAAGTTCAAAAGAAATGATTCAAATTATATTAAACATAAAATTTTCAATTTCTCTGGAATAGCCAGAATGTTCCATAGTAGGAATTTAACATGCAGAAATAAGAGTCTTCAAGTAGCATCATGTGCTTACAATGTCAAATATAATTTTTTTAAAGGAAGATACCTAAATTCATCCAAAGTCTTAATCTCATTCACACCCATCCAGGGAATTCGGAAACTATGATTTCTGGTTGGTCTTTCAGGTTTTGTTTTATTTTGTTTTTGTTAGATTTATGCTTTGTTCTGGGGCCTTAACTATCATATCAGAATTTTTTAAAAGAAGTTTAATAATAATTGTGACAATGTTTAAATATACCCACAAATTCATTGACACTCCTCCCTTCAAGAAGTAGAGCTTCATTCTCCTCCCCTTGAGTGTAGGCTACACTTAACAACTGGCTTGGAACAAACAGAATATGCCAGATGTGACAGTGTGTCACTTCTGAAACAGGGAAAGGAAAAACATGTGGCTTCCTTCTCGCTCTCTCTCTCAGATCACTTGTTCTGGGAGAAGCCAGCTGCCACAACATGAGGAGCAGTCCATATGACAAGGAACTGAGGACCCCATCAAAAGCCATGGAAGGGGAGCACTCTTGTAAGAGAATCTTCCAGCCACAATTAAATGCTCAGATGACTGCAGCCCAGGCAACATCCTAACTGCAACCTCATGAGATCCTGAGGCAGAACTACGTAGCTAAGCCACTCTCAGATTCCTGACCTTCAGAAATTATGGGTTGGTTTAAGTAGCTAAGATTTGGGATTTTTTTTTTTTTTTTGAGACAGAGTTTCGCTCTTGTTGCCCAGGCTGGAGTGCAATACCGCAATCTTGGCTCACCACAACCTCCGCCTCCCGGTTTCAAGCAATTCTGCTGCCTCAGCCTCCTGAGAAGCTGGGATTACAGGCATGCATCAGCCACCACGCACAGCTAATTTTGTATTTTTAGTGGAGACGAGGTTTCTCCATGTTGATCGGGCTGCTCTTGAACTCCCGACCTCAGGTGATCCGCCCGCCTCAGCCTCCCAAAGTGCTAGGATTACAGGCATGAGCCACTGCACCCAGCCAATTTGGGATAATTTGTTACACAACAATAAATAACTAATGCAATGGTGGCCTTTCAAGTCATTCAAGGTTTGCTTTTAAAAGTACTAATTTTCTAATACATACAAATCATTTAAGGCTTAAACATTACCAAACATACACCAAAAAAATTGCCCAACAAACATGAATCATGTGTAGAATCAAAAACTCATGGCAACTATGGGATAAGAAGTTCCATCTATAGCTACTACGAATGAGATAATAAAAAGCAATTTCTTTAACACTAAGCCAAATGTTTAGGCAACCACCTAAAGAACAGAAAACAGAAACGGTTAAACGAAGGGTGAAAGACATTGCATGGGAGACTCCTGCTTTTCATTTATAAGCTCCTCTGTCTACTTTGTTTCTTAACATATTTCCATAAATTTTTGAAGGAAACAGAAATAGCAAACTGATTCTACTCACTTGCCACTGTTGGCCAGCTGCCTGAACTCCTTCACAGTCATTGCTTTTTTCTGGATGTTGTACTGAGTGAACAGTCCTGACTGCCCTGTGACCATCTGCTGAATTGGTGCTGGAATGAGCAAATTATCAATGTCATCATAGCACTGTCTTGGCTTCCACTCCTTAGGAGGAATCACCTAAAAATAAAATAATGAAATAAAATGTCATCTTGAAAATACTCCAAGTAATTTAGCTTTTAAGTATTCTGATAAAATACAACTGAAGAATTTCTCAGTCTTTCTATGACAAATGCATAAAAAAATGAATATTTGCAATAAAGCAATATGATTGTTATTCAACAGCAAAATTTATTGAGTACTCACTATCCTAAACACTGTACTTGTATTAAACTCATTTTGAGTAGGTACTACTAATATCTTGATTTTAAAGATATAATTGAAAGACACAAAGAAGTAAAATAATTTGAAGTTAAAATGGCTAAAGACTACTTGAGCTGAGATTCTAATTACTGAGCAGTTATGTTAACCTGCCTCTCAATAGACGAAATTGGCAGGGCACAGAGGCTCACACCTGTAATCCCAGCACTTTGGGAAGCTGAGGCTGGTGGATCACCAGGTCAGGAGTTCAAGACCATCCTGGCTAACACGGTGAAACTCCGTCCCTACTAAAAATACAAAACTTAGCCGGGCGTGGTGGCACGTGCCTGTAGTTCCAGCTACTCGGGAGGCTGAGGCAGAAGAATCGCTTGAACCCAGGAGACAAGGGTTGCAGTGAGCCGAGATCGCGCCACTGCACTCCAGCCTGGGTGACAGATCGAGATTCTGTCTCAGGGAAAAAAAAAGGATGAAATTATATTTACGTAAATAATTTCTTCCCCAAAGAAGTTCATCTTTATTGAATATGATCTAAGTAAGTCGCTATGTGCTGTTTATATTATTATGAGAAAAATAAGTAAAAATATAGTCACCATTATATTCTTTTTTTTTTGAGACAGAGTCTCACTCTGTCACTCAGGCTAGAGTGCAGTGGCACAATCTCGGCTCACTGCAACCTCCACCTCCCTGGGTTCAAGCAATTCTTCTGCCTCAGCCTTCCGAGTAGCCAGGATTACAGGTGCCTGCTACCATGCCCGGCTAATTTTGATATTTTTAGTAGAGACAGGGTTTCACCATCTTGGCCAGGGTGGTCTTGAACTCCTGACCTCAGGACCCACCCACCTTGGCTTCCCAAAGTGTTGAGATTACAGGCGTGAGCCACCGTGACCAGCCAACATTATATTCTTTATAGACTTCTCACACAATATGGTGATAGCACAGTGGTATGCTAGTAGATGTTTAATAACCAGCTTCCAGAAAGGTGGAGGAAACCTTGATTTGTAGTTTTTACCTGCTTCCATGGTATAATACTCCCACCATGGCCAATCTGAACCTACCAATGTGACATCACTATATATGCGCTGGGAAGGGATGCGCACTGTTAACTCTGAAATGCCAGTATAAGGTACCTCAGCACACCAGTGTTTGCCCGTAGTATTTAAGCACTTCATTACCAAGAGTGAAAAGATCCAGAAAACATTAAGACCAAAAATACATATTGATAGGATTTAAAGTAAGAAAGTACCGGCCAGGCATGGTGGTTCATGCCTGTAATCCCAGCCCTTTCGGAGGCCAAGATGGTAAATCACTTGAGGCCAGGAGTTCGAGACCAGCCTGGCCAGTACGGTGAAACCCCCCATCTCTACTAAAAATACAAAAATTATCCGGGTGTGGTGGCAGGCACCTGTAATCCCAGGTACTTGGGAGGCTGAGGCAAGAGAATTGCTTTGAACCTGGGAGATGGAGGCTGCAGTGAGCCAAGATCACACCACTGCACTCTAGCCTGAGTGACAAGAGTTAGACTCCGTCTCATAAATAAAATAACATAAAAATAGAACGTATAATGTCATAAATTAACGATCTATGGTTGGAACTTGTCTTTTTTATTTTTGGGGGATTTTTTTGGGGTTTTTTTGTTTTTATTTTTTTTGAGATGGAGCTTCACTCTTGTTGCCCAGGCTGGAATGCAATGGCGTAATCTCGGCTCACCGCAACCTCCACCTCCCGGGTTCAAGCAATTCTCCTGCTTCAGCCTCCCGAGGGGCTGGGATTACAGGCATGTGCCACCACGCCCGGCTAATTTTTTTTTTTTTTTTTTTTTAGTAGAGACAGGATAGTCAGGCTGGTCTCGAACTCCTGACCTCAGGTGATCCACCCGCCTTGACCTCCCAAAGTGCTGGGATTACAGGCGTGAGCCACTGAGCCTGGCCGGAACTTTACTTTTCTTTTTATTTTTGTTAGAGATGGGGTTTCGCCACGCTGCCCAGGCTGGTCTCAAACTCCTGAGCTCAACTGATCCACCTGCCTTGGCCTCCCAAAAGTGCTGGAATTACAGGAGTGAGCCACTGCGCCTGGCCACTTTACCACCTTTAGAAGTCGTTTTAATTTTTTTAAAACAATCTTCTTTTTTGTTTTGAAACAGAGTTTCACTCTTGTTGCCCAGGCTGGAGTCCAATGGTGCAATCTCAGCTCACCGTAACCCCCGCCTCCCAGGTTCAAGGAATTCTCCTGCCTCAGCCTCCGGAGCAGCTGGGACTACAGGGGCGCACCATCACGCCCAGCTAATTTTTGTATTTTTAGTAGCACGGCGTTTCACCATGTTGGCCAGGATGGTCTCGATCTTCTGACCTTGTGATCTGCCCACCTCGGCCTCCCAAAGTGTTGGGATTACAGGCGTGAGCCACCACACCTGGCCTAAAACAATCTTTTTAAGGTTTCCTATTGAAAAACATAGCACACGTGTAGAAAATGCATAATCACAAGCACACAGCTCTGTGAATTATTACAAAGCAAACACCAAAGGACCCACTGCCCAGTTGTAAGGGGCAAGATATTGCTGGCACAACACAACCCCTCCAAGCGCCCTTTTCCAACTACATCTTCCCTACTGCCCAAGAGGTAACCACAATTATGGTGTTTACGGCAATCATTTCATTGCTGGGCTTTAGTTTTATGCTTCTATATGCATACCTATTCACCAGTTTTGCAAATGTATAAAAATGCAATCCTACAGTATACACTATTTGAGGTTTATCTTTTATACTTCACTCATACTTTGTGAGATTTAAATATAATGGTCTAGGTCAGGCACGGTGGCTCACTCCTGTAATCTCAGCACTTTGGGAGGCCAAGGTGGACAGATCACCTGAGGTCAGAGGTTTAAGGTTACAGTGAGTTTTGGCCAACATGGTGAAACCCTGTCTCTACTAAAAATACAAAAATTAGCCAGGCGTGGTGGTCGATGCCTGTAATCCCAGCTCCTCCGGAGGCTGAGGCAGGTGAATCATTGCAGTGAGCTGAGATCGCACCACTGCACTACAGCCTGGGTGACAGAGTGAGACTCTGTCTCTAAATAAATAAACAAACAAACGGCCTATGTAGCTGAAGTTCATTGATTTTCATTACTACTCAGTATTTTTTCTTATAAATATTTATGTATTTATAAACTGATAACCACTGACGGTCATGTGGTTTTTCTAATTATTGGCTACTGCAAATAATGCTATTAATATTCTTACACAGATATTCTAGTGCATATATGCACATGGGTCTCCACAATATCCATGCATACACAGATACCTCTAAGAATGAAATTACTGACACATAGGATACATGTAGTTCAAATTTAATAGATATTGCCAACTGTTGCCAAAGTGGTTGTACCAATATGCACTCCCAAGTGCAACATACGAGAGTTCCCATTCCTCCACATCTCCATCATCACCTAATACTGTCCATCATTTAACTTTTAGTCTTTCTGGTAGGTGTACAGTGGTACTCAACTGTGAATTTTATTTGTATTTTCCGAATAACTGAAGAAAGAAACCTCCTCATACATATGTTTACTGACCTTACTGATACTCTTTTTTTTTTTTTTCTTTTTTTGAGACAAAGTTTCTCTTTTGTTCCCTAGGCTGGAGGGCAATGGTGCGATCTCAGCTCACTGCAACCTCCACCTCCTGGGTTCAAGCAATTCTCCTGCCTCAGCCTCCCTACAGGCTGGAATTACAGGTGCCTGCCACCATGCCCAGCTAATTTTTTGTATTTTCAGTAGAGACAAGGTTTCACTGTTGGCCAGGCTGGTCTTGAACTCCTGACCTTAGGTGATCCACCCGCCTCAGCCTCCCAAAGTGCTGAGATTACAGGCGTGAGCCACAGCGCCCAGCTCACTGATACTCTCTTTTATAAAGTACTTATTCAAGTCTCTTTACCATTTTACTATTTCATTGTTGGGTTTTTTCTTATTAATGTATAGGAGTCTTTTATATATTATTTTATATATCCAAGGAGAATACTCTTGGATGTGTATGTGTGTATGTAGGTATATACACAGAGAGAGAGAGAGAGAGAGAGACAGATAGACAGAGAGAAAGCATGCGTACACAAGAGCATGTAAATATCTTCTCTTATCCTGTAACTTGCCCTCCAATCTTTTTTTCAAGAGACAAAGTCTGGCTCTGTCACCCACTGGAGTACAATGGCACGAGGTTAACTCACTGTAACCTCAAACTCCTGTGCTCAAACGATCCTCCCACCTCAGTTTCCCTGAGTAGCTGGAACTACAGGTGTGCAACCACCACACCTGGCTAATTTTTTAATTTTTTGTAGAGACAGCGTTTTGCTATGTTGCCCAGGCTTGTATGGGCTTTTATGTTATCTTTTGATAAACATCAATTCTTAATTTTAATGTAATCCAACTTTTCACATTTGCCTTTATAGGTACTGCTATAATCTTCGGTTCAAAAAAATATTTCCCTACTCAAGGACACAGAAATGGTCTACTTTATATTCTAAGAGTGTTAAAGTTTTGTCTTTCACATTTAGATACAAATGTACCTATAACTGTGAAACTCAAGTCAAGCTTCATCAGTCAAGCTTCATCAGATAAAGAAACTTGGGGTCAGGAGATGAGAAACTTGGCCAATGCTATACAGCTTATAAGTGAGAGTTATTAGCTGAAAAAAAACAAAATCACTTCACAGTGAGCTGTCAATTTTACCTTAATTTTCATCAGCAATATAAGGATACTACATATTTTATATCCTCCAAGGTATGTTTGTTTAAAATGAGAATACTGTCCA